AAAATCGATTACAGAAACATGAACTGCAATAGATAGATAACACTCACAAGATAATGAATTTTAAATAAGGTTCGAGAATTTTGAGGCTTCATACTCAGGAATTGGTCGTGTCACTTTTTATATTTTGAGCCATGGCAACACTGATTGTTGTCAGGTATCATCTGACGTTATCATACGAAAGTTTGACATTATTAAATATAATCTACCTTAGACTATATGTCAAAAGAGCATTATATGTGTTATTTATAGTGATTTGTAAATTGAGTGTTCGCAAGAAATGGAATTAATGCTAGAAAATTTTCGTGCGATGATTTATTACGACTTTCGAAGTAGATTACCATGACTAGATTGATGATCGAACGCATCGAACAACTTACTTCCACATATGGCGTTGAAGTTCCATCCTTCGCCACTGTGAAACAATGGTAGAATGATTTTATTGTGGTCACAGTTCGCTCACTGACGAAATTCGTGTTCCTGAAGTTCGTCTAAAATCTGTTGTTGTGCCAGAAAACATTGTTGCTGTTCAAGAACTCATACGAGTAATGCAAGATCCTTATGCGACATACTGTGAGATTGAGGTTGAGATGGAACTCTGGACATTAGTTCCACCATCATATATAAAATATTGCATGATCATTAAGCTGCGATTAAAATTTATTCTCGTTGAATCCTCCATTATTTGACAAAATCTCAAAAAGATGCTCGTGTTGATTGGTACACACTTGATCATTTGTGTACTTGTACAATGGCGGTGCTTTAAAAGGCAATGTCGGTATATAAGATTGTAACAGGTGACGAATCATGGATATATGCCTATGTGCCGGAACGTAAACTGCAGTCGACTATACGAGTATGGGTGTTTCAAGATGAACCAAACCCCACTAAAGTTGTTTGCGTTCGATGTACGAAACAAAAAATGTTCGCTTGTTTTTCGGGAAAACTGGTCATGCCAACTATGCAATTACGAGTATACGAGTAAAAGGGTCAATTCCGAATGGTATACAACTATTTGTTTACCGAAAGTCTTCAGTGTTCAGTGAAATACGAAAAACAAACAAGCGCAGTTGGATCATTCTCCATCTCCAACAAGACAATGCGAGTGCTCACACATCTTGTCTACTAACCGATCCGCCATACGGTCAGGGTACTGATTTGGCACTTAATAACATTCTTCTTGTTCCCGAACGTCAAGAATAAATTGCATGGACAATGATTTTTGTGGACAACGCCGGAAAAAGCGTTGTTGCATTTGAAAATCATTTTGCAGGTGTCTAAATAAATTGAAAAAAATGCTTTGACAAAAAGTTCACACACTTGCAAAAGTGAATTAATTATAAAGTTAGTATTAGTATTTTTTCATTATTAGGCTCAAAATAAAATTAACGGTCCTCGTAACTGAGAACGCCGTATAAAAATATTCGAACTTTATTTGTTGTTTAGAACAAAACGAAAATTGAAAAAAAATAATTATTTTTATTTTCAAATATATAATTATTTGTGACTTAACTAATATTGGATTAGTTAATTTGGAGTGTTTTTGTTTAAAGGTCTTATTTGAAAACAAGACTCCTTTGTTCGCTTGAGGTTAATATTAAAAAAGAATTATGCACTCTCGTATGAATCCCATTAGTTTTCGTTTTAAACAAAATACTATCTGTATCTTTAATTAAATAATTTCAACTATAAAAATTGTATTAAATATTTGTTAAATACAGTATAAAGTTTAATTGCTGAATAATTTACAAATAATAAATTTAATTTGTTCAAAAGTTCATATCACAAAAATTCCCATATTTTAATTCTAAAACAATTAACAATAAAATTAAATTGTTCGTTTCTAGTGATTCAATTTATTTTGTTCTATTTTATTTTAATTTATTTTAATTTATTTTTTATGTTTTTTAACAATTTTATTTAAAGTGATTTATGTGAAGCGTTAAACTTTAAACTCGTTTCAACGCTGTATTAACCTAATAAATTACATACTAAGAGGTTAATAATTATTGCTGTTTTAATGGTTTGATTATTTTTTATATCATTCTCTCTCTCTCTATGTGCTAATTCTATTTTATTTACTTTAATATTTTCATTGTATTATAAGCTATTAAAATATTGTTGTAAAATATAAATATTAAATTATGTAATTAAATTTGGGATTTGAGAAATGGTTTAAATGATTCCCAATATTAGTAGGAGTATATAAATTTTTTTATGGTGTTTTAATTGATCATTCAATTTTTTTTTATCTGAAAAAAAAATAAGTAGAAATTTACAAATCGTACGTACATATTTATATTTATACATATATAAGCATATTTATGTGTATACATTTATTTAAGGTTATATTGCTATTTAAATAAATTTCTATGTGATTTAAATTAAAAATTTTTTATTGCTTAATAAAAAATTTTATGTAAATTTTGTGGTTAATTGTTTTGGCAGTTCATAGTAGCTCTAGATTTGTGACCGCGTTTTTTCTCATTGAATAGTTTAACTCAGTACGATATAGTATATGTAGTCTACACCTTATTAAATTAATAAAAATATTTATATTTTAGAGAAAAGGTTTTCATGAATTTCTTTTTGGATACTATAATTAAAAAGATTAACTTATTTTCTTAAGACTTCAAGTTGTAATTTATTTATCTGCAATGCGAAGTAAAAATTTATATCAAATTCTAATGGCATTAATTTATGTATAAAACTATATTTATTAAATCGTCCATAGTTTCCGAATGCAAGTCTATTTTATTCAGTTGAGTACTTTAAGTTTCGATTGCTCGGAACTTCGCCATCTCTTCAACAAAGTTAATAATTATTCTCTACCGCATATTATAAAATATGCCACAGTCTGTATTTGGAGCAGCCATTTATACAAACTAAGTACCAAACCCACCACAGCCTTCATAGTTTCATTTTTATGGCCATATCTGTTTGAACGTAGATCGGATAAAGTTTATGGCCATAGCGTCCATGTATTCATGCTTTTTCACATGCGGCCAATAAGTGTCCAAAGCATTTTTCTTTTAAACGATTCAGGCTGAATAATTTTTTTGTGAAAAAGAAGAAAATGTTAGTCTACCTACGGTATATGAATTTTAACGGATGACCATGGTGCTTTCGTATATACCTATATACTTAGGGGTATCGGTTTCTGTTTTTTGAAGGTCGTTAAGAAAAGTACTTACCTTTATTTCTTCGATTTTACAATAACAAATGGAAGCCACTTAGCTCATGTGTAACTTCTTGGTTGACCTGGCCGTCATAAAGGCCAGATCTTGAGGGTTTATAAAAATGCACCACGTGAATACTATAAAACTTACTATTGCTCTCTGTGGTCACGGGCGAATAGGGACCCATGCAGAGAAACTGCGCATTCCTATAATACTCACCGTACAAGTAGATACTTTCCGAAGAAACAGGTTTTTCGGGAAGTGTTTTTTTGATAGTCAGACTAATCATCGGTAAAGAAGAAAGATAAATTTAACCTAAATTTAACTATATGGATTTAGATTTTTTATCTCTTGAGATTTCAGCGGTAGGAAATGTACAGACGTCCGGTACTGTAAAACCAACCAACCAACTGTGTCAACTCGCAACCTGACAATGGATTATTACTGCAGTAGTCACACCAGTGTTGCCGACATAAAGTGCTAACCAATACTTAAGGCATGAGCCACTTTTTTTTCTGTTAGTAATAATATTTCCACGTTATCTATTGACTATTTCGAACCATGTCTATATAAAACAATTGCGTAATGTGCCCAGAACTAAATTGTATACACGAATATGTAAAATGCAATTGTCTTTTTAAAAACAAAAATATTTAAGTGTGTGACAAAAATTCAAAAACATAGTAAATCTATGACTTAGATATAACGATATAAATTACTGCATAGACAATCTTGTAATTTTTAATGAATGAATCCATACGAGTATTATATATATTGAATTTGACTGGTATATTGTCTTTATTAATTATTTTGACAACAATTATAATAACTTTTAATGTACTAATATATATGTAAATGGTGGATATGGGTACTGTTTTATCATTAAAACTTCCAAAAACTGCAATTATAGTGAAAACTATTTTTAGTAGACATATATTTTCGGTAAGCTTTTGTTCGCTCAAGAAGGGTGTTTGGTGAAAAGAAAACAAGCTCTTCCAAACACTAATAAAAAAGGTTTGTTTAAGAAAAATTATTTACCAAATTGATGTCCGTCAGATAAGTTTGCACTGTGTTATAATTAATTATCAATTTAATACAGTTTTTATAATTATTATAACAATAATAGATTTTAGAGATATTTTGAAAAGTAGTGAACTACAACAATAAAAGTTTTTTTTTATATTATTTAATGAAATAAAAGTATAAAAGTATAAATAAAAGTTTTTTTTATATTATTTAATTAAATAATACAAACATAAACTTTTGTTGCTGTAGTTCACTACTTTCCGAAACTTCTGTAACAAATCACAGTAGTTTCTATTGAGTAAAATAGTCACTACCGTCATAACTGACGTTAAATTACAATTTGTTAAAAAATAGTATTTTTGAATAGGATATAATATTGAAAATTCGGAAAATATATTTTGCATATAGAATTTTTAAATATTTCTTTGCAGTTAGATAATGCCGTCTGTTATTTTAACTGAGTTTATTTAAGTTTATAATTTAAATGAGTTATACTTGAACGTTTAAATCGAAATGGAACGAAATTTTTTATATTAATAATGTACTATCCATTGAACCATTCATTGTAATGTTATTAATTTTATTTTCAGATTTATATTAACCATTGCAGACATTTATTTGTCATACAATGATTTATTTCAATTATTTAAATTCTAATTTGTATATGTAGATACTGAAAGCAAATTAAAACTACATTTGTAGCACTAAATTATATTTTTAAATTACATCGTTGCTAATATTGTCTAAATATTATATTTATTTTTAAGAACCAATAAATAAATATAATAATTTTCCACCAATTTACTTACTACTCTATTACTTACTATTTTTTCTAATATGACTGTCTTTCTCTTATTTCGATTGTATGAAAATATTAATAATTATTATTTCTCAATGCTGCTTTTCGTTTCTCAACTTGTTCTTCTAATGATGTAATCACATCAACAGCCATTCTTAATATACCTAATTTAGTTAAAGGTCTATTTAAACGCAATATCTGCATACACATAATTCCAAGTTCCTTAAGCGCACCGTTTAAATCATGTATACGTATACGCTCACGAGCATTGTTTGCCTGACGACGTTTAATTTGACGCATAGCAGTTAACGCTTCATCTTCCACATCTCCTTCCTCACAGTCCTCATCATAATCATCCAACAGTGGAACCGATTCATAAGTACGTTTTCTTCCTCTTTTTTGTGGTTTGTCCGTACCATTTTTGACGCCTGATTCTGCCAATAAATTTTCAATAACACGAACTCCTTCACCGTAAATATCATCCAATTCAGGTTGTGAAGTTTTTGATATATCAGTTACATTGTTCATATTCATATTTGTGGAAATACTTGATAGCTGATTTAAATTGTTTTTAGGTAGAACTTCGGAGTTATTCAACGATAGCAGAAGAGCATTGCAATCAAAATCATTTGGTTTTATTAATGGTATTACGGGTGACATAGTATTCTGTCTGGGAACAGTATTACTGGCGATCTCTTCAATAGCTTCAATATCTATTTCACCGTCTGAGTGGGTTTCACAATACTTACGAAACACTACGATGGCATGATTTAGAAACTGTTCCACTCTTTCACCCTCTAAAACAGTTTCTATTTCAGCATCTGTTAGTTCCGATTTTTGTGTCACATCTTTCCAGTGAGCTTCACAGTGTACATTTAAATCTGATTTACTGTCTTCTTCCAGCATAGCAATGCCTTTTTCAGTTTTTTCATTCTGTGCACTTAAGTTATCAGACATTTGAGTAGTTTGTAAAGAATTTGTTGTGGCAGTTTCGTTATTAATGTTAGGTTGATGTTGTACGTCTTTCTCAGTTTGAACTAAAGCTAACGATGATGATAAATTTTGTTTCTCTTCATTAACAAGAATGAAGTTTGTTGAATTACTTGCAACTTTTTTTTCGATTTGTGCTTCATTTGTTAAATTCTGATCATTTGTTATATGAGTTATCGTTGAAGTGTCAGCTATAGTAGAGAGAACTGAAGATTGTTGACGTGGTCTTTTATAAACATTAAAATAGGGCCGGTCCAAATTAGCATTAGTAGATTTAACAGTTGGAGTTTCATATTCCAAATTTGCTTTAGTAGATTCAACAGTTGAAGTTCCATATTTATTTGATCCGAAAGTATTTTCATAACTTGGGAGACCTTGAGAAGTTATTGTTGATGTAGACTTCGGCTCTTCTTCAATGTTTGGAGGCGTTGTAGGAGCATCACTCTTAGTTTCTAGTTGTGAAGATGAAGAATTGCAGGAAAGTGTTTGTTTTAAATCAGTTTGCTCTTCACCATTTTTTGTGGAGCTATTTATGTGTTGATCAATTTCTTTCTGACTTAAAATTGAATTAGTATTATTAATAATTAGTTCCTTGTCATTTTGTTGATTTACAAGTTTTTCTTGTTTATTTTCAGAATGGGATTTTGTTTCAAGATTCAAATGTTCTGTCGTTTTTGAGGTTGTAGAAAGTAACTGAGTTAATAATTTCGGACTATTTTTAGTGATTTCTGAAGTGAAAACTGCTGATATATTGCTCTTATATTTAGCGTAATCGCCAGTGCAGAATTTGTTTCGCTGAATTCCATGTGTATTATTACCTCCTGTTATAAGGTTTGCTTGCTGCATTAGTTGTAATTTATCTTTCACATTCTCAAAACTAGGCGAATTGAAAAAACTTTTACTTATAGTAGCTTTAGGCTTTTTGATCGATAATTTGCTTGGCTTTATTATATTTTTATTACTTTTAGGATTTGTTATACCTACAGATATTTCTTGTTCTGCATACTAGAAATGATAAGCAACATTAAGTTTTAAATATAAATTTTAGAAAAGTAATAAAAAAATTATAAATATTTACTGAAAGTTCTTCTGCTGATTGTTGTTGTCCAATATTTTCACACTTTGTACCACATTGAATATTACATGCCAGTGTAGACTCACCTAAACTAAATGAACCCATACTTGCTTGACGTTTTCTAAGCTCTTCCGGAACAGTTTCTATATCTAATTTTTCAGTTAAATAATATTTAAAATTGTGCCAATTATCAAAACAATCGGAGTTTTTACTTAGCGCTCGTGGTAGATTATCTGCCAAAAACTGATATGGGTTCATCGGTATTGAATTAACGGCATCAACATGTATGGCGTTATCAGTGGAAGTTCCAGATTGTTCGACATTCATGATGGCTGCAGTTGGAGCTTGCATCTTTGTTTCTATTAAATGCGAATAGTCATCCTTGTGTTTTGAAACCGAATTATTGACGTGATCAATATTCATGAAGTTATAATCAACTGTTGATAACTTACTATCATTTTTAATCATTGTTTGCGCAGGGAATAATTTTTGTTTAGCAGAAATAACTGAATTAATAGCTTTACAAAAATGTAGGTTTCTGTCTTTATTAAAACTTTGTGGTAGGCAGGCCGCGACTACTGTATGTTCAGTAGTAGCTGCATTCTGTTGTTTATTGGTACTATTATTAAGCAATAAATTCCTTACCCTATCAGAGCTTTGAGTATAAATTGGTATATTTGTTTTATAGGGACTCATTGCATGGGAAAAGAATTGATTTTGTTCAGTGTTTATACCTGCATTTTGCTTGGGAATAGGATTACTTAAACTTGAACTATCAATTTTTTCAGAAAATTTTGAAAGCCCTTTAACACTATTTAATGATTCCGATTGAATTGGTTGACTTTCATTAGTATTTGAAAAATTTTGACTATTAGGAGAATTACTAAACAATAGATTTTTTGGTTTATCTGAAGCTGGAACGCAGGGTTGTAAATGAGATTGTTGATTAGGCAGCAAAATTGGAGAAATTTGTCTATGCGCTGAGCTTTGATTATTGCAAAGATCACTTAATATGGCACTCTTGGAATTATCAGTACAGGGAATGAAAGATTTTGTATAGCATTGTTGATTTGTCAATAATGTTGGACTTATTAGTTTATTTGAAGTAACTTCAAGTGAATTTTGGTTATTACAGAGACTATTTAATAGCTGATTCCTTGACTGAGATTTTTCATTAGTCAACAATATGGGTGAAAAATGTTCATTTGCAGTAGGGGCAGTAGGGCTGTAGTTACTGCAGAGGTCACTCAATATTGGATACCTAGACTTATTGATGCCTGGAATGTGGTGTTGAAATGTGGAATGTGGTGATTGGGGAATAGCAGCAATATTTGGTGTGTTTTTCTCACGTGTATTAATCTTACCTGAAGTTTGCTTATTGTATAGTACACATGGCATTTGTTCTCTTTCAGAAATATGAACAGAACTTGGATTTTTAATTGACTCATAATGTGGTAAAACATTTCTTTTTTCAAAATCTTTATTTAGAGATCTGTTGGAAATTAATTGTAGGTTTTGATGGACATCATTTACTAAGTTACTTCTGATATTATAAGCAGGAAGTGTATACCGTGCACTTGGAAAGTATTTTTCTGAATGCAAATTTGACTCAGTGTGAATATTGGAATTGTATAATACTTCATTAGGAATAGTAGATGACTTTGGTATATTTTTAAATGACTCTTGCTCCATGGTAGGTATATTATATGTAGACTTTTGAAATTTGTCATAAAGCATGGACCCAGTTTGGTTTGAAGACTTGTAAGATTCTTTTAAGTTAAGGTTAAAATTATTGAAACTAGTATCTACTAAATTGGCAATTGTATTATGATCGGCCTGCTCTTGTAATCCCTGCAGACCTACGTTTTGTATATTATACAACTTTGTACTTTGGCATTCCATGCCATAAAAATTTTGTTCTCCAACGCTGAGAGGAACGTCTAAATGAGAGCTAACTTTTTTAACATCAAGTTTGTCAGTCGTATTCACTTGCTGTTCGAATTTTGTTTCTATTCCTTTCAAATTAGTTTTAATTTCAGGAATTTTTTTAGAGTTAATATTGGGCATTACTTGAGAGTTCTGTGTGTCTACTGGATTATCAAGAGTCGAGCACATATTGATAGTCTTGTCAGTAATTTGGTCTTCAAAGTGGCTTGGAGTATTTATATCTTTCTCATTAGATGACGTTGTTTCATCATTCGATATCATGTTACTAAAACTATTTTCAAACAATTTGTATAAATGCGCAACATCATTGTTATTTGCCATTCCTGAGGTTTGCGGACTCTAAGCATCGCTGAAAAAGGAAGAAAAAAATTAAAAATATAAAATATAATATATAATATATTTAAAATATAAAATTAAATATGTTTTGAGAGTTTGATAGTTAATTGTCATAGCTTTAACTTGTTCAGAACGTATTTAATTATAATAACTGAATTTGTTATCGTTTTCATTAATCATATTGTCAAAGTCATTTAAAATGAAATTTTTTTTAGTATTAATTTTATAATATCTTAAAATTCAAAAATATAATTACGCAAAATTTTCGGTATAATGTCGGAATCAAAATCAAAGGCGGAACCTCCGCCTAGTCAAAAACAAATGCCAAATGCTTTAAAATTCTTTTTTGGCGGTCTAGCAGGAATATGTGGTGCTATTATTGTACAACCGTTTGATGTTGTAAAAACTCGAATGCAGGTTTCGGTAACATCGAGTGGAAAGAACGAATTTAATAGTTCTTTCCATTGTGCTCAGACTATATTTGCCTCGGAAGGAGTATTGGGGTTATACCGAGGGTTAAGTGCAGCAATTCTAAGACAAGCTACTTACACTACTACCAGATTGGGAATATATACATATTTGAATGGTCAGTATGAAAAAACATATGAAAGCAAACCGACTGTCTTAGCAAGCATGCTTATTGGCGTCGTTGCTGGATCCATTGGTGCTATGGTAGGAACTCCGACTGAAGTTGCATTAATTCGTATGCAAGCGGATGGTCGCTTACCACCAGCAGAACGGAGAAATTATACTAATGTATTTAATGCACTATCTCGAGTAATTAAAGAGGAAGGCGTTGCATCCTTATATCGTGGCTGTTTTCCTACAACTGTTCGAGCTGCAATTGTGAATGTGTCACAGTTGGCATCGTATACACAGTTTAAAATGTTCTTCAATAAGCAGTTAAATATGCCCGATGGTTTTAAAGTGCAATTCGCTTCAAGCATGCTTTCTGGCTTACTTACAACTTTAACTTCCATGCCAATGGATATGGCTAAGACACGTATACAAAGCATGAAAATTGTTGACGGTAAAGCTGAATATTCAGGATCTCTTGATGTTCTGCTAAAAGTTGTAAGAAAAGAAGGTGTTTTCGCTCCTTGGAAAGGAATAACACCATATTTTCTACGTTTGGGGCAACATACAATTTACACTCTTTTGTTTCTGGAACAATTTACTCGCATGTACTACAAATATGTTCTGGGTGATGATAAAAGAACCGGTCTTTAATAGCATTTGGCTACAATTTATTTTGGAAACTTTTAAAAATATATTTTTGAAATTCTTCGTATTCGCATGTAATAAATATGATAATATATTAATTAAAAAATAGCAGTATTTTATTTTATATGTAAGAAAATTGTAGAACTATAATAGGCTGAAAGAGGTGTGAAAATTTGGTCGCAATGACGGATGTTAGTAATTATGCTCTTTAAAGTTATAACTGTAATACCATGGAACGTTTTCTACTTCATAAACATGGAACATATTTAAAAATTTCTAGGAATAATAAGCAGATATTGACTTATATAATTTTTATTCTCTTTATTCTCACTTATATATTTATAACCACAATTATAATAAGATCTTCATTATAATGGATATGTGTCTTTACTCATTCCGCTTGGTAATTTTTATTTAATCTCTCATATTTATCTTACTCTCGTATTCACTTATACATATATTGGAAGAAAACTTAACAGTTATAAATTTAAAACAACAGTTTGAAACATGTAGTTTGAAAGTTGTTTTAAAACATCTTTTATTAATACCAGTATCATTTCTTTATATTTATTCTTGTTAGCTATATCAAGCAATGAAAAATCGTTTTGCCTGACATTAGTTAGCATTATTGATTTGAAAAATTCTTTCTCTCTTATTTTTTGATAACTTCATTGAAGTGTTTTTTGATTGTAAGACATCAATCATGCCTTTAGTGACTGCATAAGAAGCCCAATAAGGGCTTTCATATCTTTCATACCCTGTGTTTAGAATTAAGATTTATTGTATCATGGCCTTTAATTTATTTGTCATTTTTGTATTGTGTCGTCGCCTTTAAGCACACGCGAAAAGGCGACATGTGTTTTTGAGAAATAATAAAGCAGTCGTGAATAAAAGTTATCAGTAAACTAACTGAATAAAACATTGGTGCCGAAACCCGGGATAGTGATCCATAAAAGGGATAGTGATCCATAAAAGGGATAGTGATCCAGAAAAGGGATAGTGATCCAGAAAAAAAAATATAATTGCAAAATGTTAGACTCAGAAATTCACGAACTCAGCGACGGGGAGCAAGGAGGCGTGCAGAAAGGGTCTAAGAAAATGGCGGAATTGAAGGCGTTGAGAGGCAGCACCAAAGGCAACATCACTCGCATAAAATCAATGATTTTGAAAAAAGGGTCAAGTTTGTCAACAGAAGAACTTAACTGCAGGCTTAGTTTGACAGAAAATTACTTCAAACAGTTTCTGAGTGTGCAAGCAGATATCGATAAACTAAACCAAGGTGCAGATACTTCTTCAAGCGAAGCAATTACAGCAGAAGTTGAAGATGCATTTGTGGCCACGAAAGCAAAAATAATGAGTTTACTAAAAAAAAGAAAGCTATCACTGGTAGATGTCAATGCAACGAATACAACATCGTTATTGCCGGGCCCAAGAAGTCATCGGGAAGTAAAATTACCGAAATTTGAAGGGAAGTATAGCGAATTTCCGAAATTTATAGCCTTGTTTAATAAATTAATCAACCAGGATGAAATGCTTGATGACTGTGAACGATTTTTGATACTTAAAGAGCACTTGGGCTCTAAGCCGCTGGCAGCTATTGACGATTTTGATGTCACAGAGGACAATTACCCCAAAGCACTCGATCGATTGAAGGAATGCTTCGATAAAAAGCGTTGATGTTCGAGGAACATATTACAGCCCTCTTTGCTGTCCCAAAATTAACAAAACCATCTGCAGTTCATTTAAGAAATGTATTAAATGCAGCGAATGCACATTTGAATGCAATGCTATCATTAGGTGATTACAAAGATATAGCGAATGCCATGTTAATTCATTTGGTGATGGAAAGAGTGGACGAAGATTCGCAGGTCAAATGGGAAGAATCAGTGGATTACAGGAAGCTATCAACTTGGAATGAATGTTCAGCAGTTTTGACGAGGCGATGTGAGAACCTTGAGGCAAGGGAACATAAAGTTAATCAAGTGAATTCAAAGGCTGTAAACTATCAAAAAGAGTATAGAAATAACCGCAACTACTCAACCTCTCTTGCAGTTACAAAACCTTTATGTGAAGTCTGCAATGGCAGTGGCCACGAGATTGCAGATTGTAGCAAGTTTAGAAAGCTTTCTTTAAAAGAACGCTTTTTCGTAGCACGGAGAATAAAGGTATGTTTTACATGTTTAAAAAGGGGACACCTTCAAAAAGAATGCTCTGCTGTTAAATGCTCGAAATGTAATTTATCTCATCATCAACTTTTACATAAAGATTATATCTTGGAGCCAAATGAACAAAGATGCAAAAATGGGCCATCTACGTCAACACAGGAGACAGCTCAGTCATCAGTTATGAATGTAATGACTGAAAACGAGGTTTTTTTGGCAACAGCAGTAGTAATGGTAGCGGACAAGTTTGGCAAATATCACCAAATGCGAGCCATATTAGATTCTGGCTCTCAAGTAAATTTGATGTGTGAGAAAGTTGCTCAAAAACTGTTATTAAAAAAAACGTCTTGTAAATTAGATGCTAGCTGTGTTGGAGACGTTGTAACTAGCTTTAAAACAAAAACTGTGGCTACCATCAAATCAAAAATAAATGAATTCGAAGTCAGTCTGCAATTTTATGTTTTACCGAAAATAACAAGCTCCAAACCTAACCGTTATGTCGATGTTGCGGACTGGAATTTACCAAAAAATATTCAAATGGCTGATCCAATGTTCAATAAGCCAGCGCGTATAGATATTTTAATTGGTGCGGAAATTTTCTTCGATTTGTTGTCGATTGGACGAATTTATCTTAATGAAAGGTTGCCAACCCTACAGAAATCCATACTAGGGTGGATAGTTGCAGGCAAAGCAGAAGAATGTTTAGCGCCTAGTCATAAAATAAATAATATGCTGGTCAATCACAACCATAATGAGAATGAAAACTTGAGTCAATTGGTTGAAAAATTCTGGAAAATAGAACAGATTTCAACTAAATCAAATTTTTTAACCGAAGAAGAAGAGGAATGCGAGAAAATTTTCCGTGAATCAATTCGTAGAGATACATCTGGCCGATTTATTACGAAAATTTCATTTAAAACAACAGTAAGTGATTTGGGTGGTTCCTATAATGCTGCCAAACGACGGTTGCTGTCACTAGAGCGTAGGTTGAGTAGAGATCGCTCTACACGAGACGCTTACAACGCATTTATGGATGAGTACCTCTCTTTAGGTCACATGACGATCGTTGAAGAAGCTGATATGGATAAGATAAAATATTTTGCACCGCATCAGTATGTGCTACGACCAGATTCTACGAGTACGAAACTTCGAGTTGTGTTCGATTGTAGCTGTAAAACTGACAGTGGCTTGTCATTAAATGAGGTAATGATGAAAGGACCACTGGTTCAAGATGACCTGTTATCTATAATACTGCGATTTAGATGTTACAAATATGCAATTACGGCAGATGTAACAAAAATGTATCGCCAAGCATGGGTGACTGATGATGATGCGAATTATCAAACGATTTTGTGGAGGTCTTCCTCAGATGAAAACATAAAGGCCTATCGCTTGCGAACCATTACTTATGGTACAACATCTGCCCCCTATTTAGCTACAAGATGCTTAAAACAGTTAAGTGAAGATTATATCGATAAATATCCGATTGGATCGAGAAAGGTGTTATCTGATTTTTATATGGATGATTTGATCAGTGGATCAAATGATGAAGATGAAATTTTTGAAATATATAATCAAGTATCAGCAATAATGAACTCAGCAAAATTTAAGTTAAGGAAGTGGTTTTCAAATAGTGAAAAATTTCTTAATTTCGTGCCTGAAGCTGATAAAGAAAAGACTCTTCGGATGAATGATGAGGAAATAATAAAAACTCTTGGTATCATCTGGGCTCCAGTGGGAGATACGTTTCGATACGTTTGGCCAGATTTTGATAGTTCGAAAGCGGTGACAAAAAGAATAGTGTTGTCGGAACTATCTAAGTTGTTTGATCCCCTTGGGCTTATTAACCCATTAATCGTAAAGGCGAAGATTTTCATGCAAGATTTGTGGATATTGAAGGCTAATTGGGATGAATCCCTACCAATGAATTTACATAGTCAATGGATAGAATTCCGCGAAAATCTAAAAGACGTCAAGAAAATAAGTGTGCCTCGATTTGTTTTGGCAGAAAAACGAGTTGCTAGAGTTGAAATGCATGGATTTGCTGATGCATCAAAAAGAGCTTTCGGGTGTTGTATTTATATTCGCTCAATATGTGTGGACAACGACGTTACAATGCAGTTGTGGAGTGCTAAATCCAGAGTAGCGCCATTAAAAACTTTATCTTTACCAAAATTGGAACTTTTGGCTGCGGAATTGCTGTCGAAACTAGTGACAAAAACCAAATCCAATTTTCCAATTTCTATTGACGCGACCTATTTATGGGTGGATTCCGAAATTGTGCTAGATTGGCTGAGCGAGCACCCATCAAATTGGAATACATTTGTTGCCAACCGGGTATCATTGATTCAAGAGCAGACAAAAACGTTTATTTGGCGGCATGTTCCTTCAAAGTCTAACCCAGCGGATATAATATCAAGAGGTGCGTATGTAGATGAACTATCTAATTCTATTTGGTTTGCAGGTCCTTCTTTCTTGAAGAGAGATTGTTGTGAGTGGCCACCAAATAAGTCTAGAAAGAATACTAATGCTGACCAAGAAAGGAGTCGTAATAGTACGATAATGACTGTTAATAATTTGAAAAAAAAAATACCTTATGAGACATGCTCTGAGGATAACTCGAAATCTTCTTTTGTGACGTGGGTTGAAACCTTCAGCGATTTTGAAAAATTACAAAGAATTTTTGCCAATCTTCTTGGCTTTCGAAGAAGCGTTAAGTCTATGGCTGAAAGATTAGATGAAGCACTAGTGCGTATATTCTACTGTGTGCAACAACATTATTTCAAAGAAGAAATTGAGCTGCTATCGAAGAATAGAGAATTGCCAGCAAACAGTAAATATAAAAATCTGAGCATTTTTGTAGAAGATACTTATGGTGTTCCGCTACTACGTGTTGGTGGGAGATTAGCGAAGGCTGCATTACCATATGATGCTAAACATCAAATTTTGTTACCGAATAACTCAGAAATAGTTTGCAGTTTTGTACGATTTCTTCATTTCAAATATTTGCATGCTGGTACGCAAGCGCTTATGGCTATAGTTAGGCAGCGATTTTGGATATTTCATGCTAGAGGAGTAATACGCAAAATTACTGGTAGTTGTCTACAATGCTTTAGATGCCATCCAAAATTGAGTAATCAGATTATGGGCGATTTACCCTCTTCTAGAGTCACCGTAGCGAGGCCGTTCACTGTGACTGGAGTGGACTTTTGCGGCCCTATTACAACAACGTATCTACTTCGTGGGTACAGAACAACAAAAAGCTATATTGCTGTTTTTATTTGTTTTGCCACAAAAGCTGTGCATATGAAGGTGGTCTCTGATTTGACTGCAAAGGCTTTCCTGGCTTCATTAAAAAGATTTGTAGCTCGACGCGGCTTATGCTTAAAATTATTTTGCGACAATGCCACTAATTTTGTGGGTACTCGTAAAGAGCTCGAGGAAATGAAATGCAAGTTTTTTGATCAACAAGTACAGGGCAAGATTTCAAAATATTGTACTGCCAATAGTATTGAATTTCATCATATACCACCCAGATCCCCCCACTTTGGTGGACTATGGGAAGCGGCTGTAAAATCAGCAAAATATCATTTGGCTAGAATATTGGGTCAATCACATCTTACATTTGAAGAGCTGGCAACAGTGGTTGCGGAAGTAGAGGCAGTTTTAAATTCAAGACCTTTGACAACCTTGTCTAACGACCCAAATGATGAAAGCGTTCTTACACCGGCACATTTCTTAACAGGTGGTCCGTTGGTTGGAACTGTGGAACCTACTGTGGATAGCGAAGAATGGTCTCATAAAGATAGATGGCTACGAATTTCGGCCATACAACAACATTTTTGGAGAAGGTGGTCGGCGGAGTATCTTCATGAACTTCAACAGAAAGTCAAATGGACTAAGAAGCAGAAGAACCTTAATGAAGGTGATATGGTGTTAGTTGCAGAAGAAAATTTGCCTTCTAAGCAATGGCTTATTGGGAGAGTGCTGAAAGTGACAAGAGATGCTAAAGGTTGGGTTCGAGTTGCTGATGTAAAAACAAAGAATGGAGAGGTTCGCCGAGCAATCCATAAATTGGCACCTATTCCATCTGAATGTTGATGTCTGCTGGAGCCATCAAAGGCGGCGATATGTTTAGAATTAAGATTTATTGTATCATGGCCTTTAATTTATTTGTCATTTTTGTATTGTGTCGTCGCCTTTAAGCACACGCGAAAAGGCGACATGTGTTTTTGAGAAATAATAAAGCAGTCGTGAATAAAAGTTATCAGTAAACTAACTGAATAAAACACCCTGAGACCCATCCTAACACTATAGTACTATGCAGTACCAGCACTTAGTATAAAAAACCATTGAAAACATTTTAATATTTATATCCTATTTTAGTCACTCTATATCAGTGCTGTCCAGACTAGTTTTTCGCGAACCAATACTAATCACTGTACAGATTGGAGGTCTGCTGCAACAAATACATAAGTTCATTGTTGTTTTCGACAAAAATAAACACACGGTTATAATGTTAAATTTAGTTTTATTAATTAATAACTTATTTATTTATTTATTATACCATAAAATTAAAATAATGTAGTTTAACTAGTAATCCAAAAGAAAACTTGCGGAATTGTAGCAGATTAAAATCATGTCGCAAATATAAGCCGCACGTAGCCTACGGGTCGTGCTTTGGACAGCTCTGGTCTATATTCTAAGGTCTAGTGAGCCTCAGCTTTCTTGAGGCAAGGTGCCAGCAACATATATTTAAAGAGTAGTTAAAGTTAGGTAAATCTTAACATACTTGTAATTACATATACTTTCCTTTTTCTCACTATGTGAATGAAATATTTTATTAGTAATTTTTAATTTAATTTTTAATTGACATTGACATGTTTTCTATTAAAAATATAATTTTCTCTCAATATTATTTATTATCTACAAAAGTCACGAGTCATTGTGTACGAGTATGTTTCAAAAAATATTTCAAAATATCGTTTCTGTATTCTTCTCGGAAATAGCAGCCTTGCAGTCTATTCAAGTCAACATTAAATTGTATTTTATTGTATATTTCTCATTTAAAATTTGTTTACGAAACCTAAATAAAATCATGACAACACCGTAATTTAATAGATTCTTTTTATAAAATGTATAAAGTAATATATATTATTAAGCCATGTAGTCTATTCTTGTGTGAATTAGTGTTTCTCCTCTATGAAATTATTTTTTTCTTTTATGTTATTTTTCACCTAACATTTGCCTGTGTTTTATTTATTTAATTATATTAATTGCAGCTTTATAAATTATTTCTGACTTTTGTGTAGATGCCGACAATATTCTGCTAAGGCTACATTTCGTTCTACATACATGATGACAACAACGACGACGACTCGCGGTCTGTCATGTTCGCTTAATATATTGCTTGATATACTCGCTTATAGAGACAAATACAAACCTACACTTATACAATGTGTTTGTTGTCAGTTTTAAATATTTATTTATTTTTTTTTTTCATATACTGGCTTATACATTAAGACCGAAAAGTTTTCGGAAATTCTCATTTAAAATTCGCGCGCTGTATATTTTTCGATATTTTAAGTTTATGTAGTTTGGCAGAAATTAAGGACAATTACTATGCCAAAAATGAGCGCGATCTGTCAGACAGTTCGTTTACGGCAGCTGTTGAAACCAGTTCACCTCAGTAGTGCGTTGCGAAAAAAACAATGGAAAAAAATATTGAACAAAGAGTTTGCATCAAATTTTGTGTTTCGAACGAAATTTCGTGTGCAGAATCGTTGCGAATGCTACAAAAGGCTTATGGGGAATCAGTTTTATCGAAAACTCAAGTTTATGAGTGGTACAAAGCCTTTCAGGACGGTCGTACGACCGTCGAAGACATTTCGCAACGCACTACTGAGGGGAACTGGTTTCAACAGCTGCCGTAAACGAACTGTCTGACAGATCGCGCTCATTTTTGGCATAGTAATTAAGGACAGTGCTGCCAAACTACATAAACTTAAAATATCGAAAAATATACAGCGCGCGAATTTTAAATGAGAATTTCCGAAAACTTTTCAGTCTTAATGTATATTGCAAAACATACTCTGCTAAATGCTTCTCATTACCAACCGCCCCTCTGTGGGTACCAACCATTAAAACTGCCTTTTAAATCCATTTTTAAATAGTGTATATAATAGAATATAATGTAGCTTATATTTTTTTTTTTTTTGAATATTGTGTTCTCTCTATTTCTATATAATTTATGTATACTTGTATACAATCTTTCGTATTATTGTATTGTTAAAAAAGTAGTCATTGTTGTAGTTATTATTATTTCATTTGGATTAGGTCATTTTTCAGTTTCTGCTCTTAAACTCTTTCCACACCATTCAACTCGGTGCAAACGAACTTGCTCTGGTGTAAATGTAAGAGTACATGAGATGCTTTTGTTTCTAGTCATTATATTGATTTTAACTTAATTGTAATTACTTTGTTGTACTTGCCACATGAAAACCCTATCTCTCGTTGCTGTTCGTATACCGCCTTTGTACCTCACTTTTGGCACCTTTAATATTTCTGAATTTGCACCCATTCTATTCTCGTTACTCGTATTTACTGTGTTCTTTTTCTCCTAATGATAAATTTTAATTGAATAAAGCAGTACATAGCATTATTGCCTTTGTTAGTTGCCGCTTTTTCATGTGCCGCCATCGGTACCACAACAGCTATATTACATGGTACCAAACTGTATCCAACGCCGTACTCAGCTGTAGTCTTAATTCGTTTTTGTTTTATTATTTTTTAATTGATTTTTTCATATTGTTTTCAATAGAATTTTTTTTTGCATTTTTATTTTGCAACAAATTTGATTTTGTCTTGCAATTAATTTTTTTTCTGTATGTGCACTTGCACATTTAATATTACATAAAATTTATATGATAACTAGTATACAGGGTGGTGCAATTTTATTGATATGAAAACTATTGTATTCTTACAAGTTATGTCTTCTAAGAGAATGTTAATTCATTACCTTAATTGTCTTAATTGCCTATAGCATAGTTAAGTCACGACACCTATTATTAAATCCTTTTGCAGGCATATACAGAGTGATTCCCATAAAATGGAATGAGTTCAAGATAATTTCTTGGTTCGAGAAGTAAAAACATTGTATGAAATGACAAGAGAATTTTCAATACTAGCTAAAATACAAGATGGTATTATGGGAGTGGAAAAACTTTTACGTTTTTATATTAAAAAAATTTGGCGATTACAGTTTAACACAACCAACCCAATGATTTACTTGGAGACTGACTTGTCACCTCTCTAATTGTACCCTTTAGAAATTCATTTTAAGTAACATATATGTTAAAAGTTTTTACCATGAAAAACTACCGGTTACCTAAAATCTTAGCTATATCTTTACTGCACGAAAAGAGCCTCTTTTTTTAAACGTGGGCTGATCTAACAATGGTTCACTGCGATACGTTGATAATCGACAATATTCATTCTTAGATGCAATAACACCAAAATATAATAGTAAAAATCGATATTACGCGTAGAGGAAAGTGCGTAGCAAAAAGCCAACAAAACTTAACACGTGTATTATATAGACAACTTAATTTTAGCTTAGACAACAACAATTACTTCTCCAAATGTTTCAATGCATTTTCAAAACTCGAGGAGAACTGTTAGAACACAACTAAGCTCTCTATACGAACTTGTTAGACTCGAGATGTACATTTATAGGGCATTTTTTTAGTTGCGTGCGAACTTAATATGATAATATAAGATGGAAACATTGTTGGAATGAACATTGTCTTCTAATGTTTCAAGAGTTGACGGCATAAACCAGTGACTTAACATAGCCCCATAAAAAGTAAGCGAGAAGCGTTAAATCTAATATCTAACATAACATTACATCTTCATTGTAATAAAAAAAAAATTTTTGGTGGCAGCCAAGAGCATATAAAAGCAATATTTTAATACTGAACGTTAAGCAGGGGACAAAAGATATATTGATTCAGAGCCATGGGCTTTGTGTATTTTGGATTCTTACCACAAATATATAGATGGAAATGAATGGTTGATAATATTGCTTAAATTGGCGCTACCGTTGCAGAGAACCAATTAAGCGTTTTAATCCACTTATTTAATCCTTATTTAATTAATAATTTAAGCCTCTGCGAAATACATACACTCATATATAATGTATATATATATATTTAAAATTCATATATTTATATATATACCATACAAATGCTGAAAAAGCGAAGAATACTTGGCTCAACATAAGTATGTTACCTACAAAGTCCGTTTATGTAGTCATTGGAGCTAAAAAATTGTAGAATGTTAATTAGTATTTTAATATAACAATGTAAGATGACAAAGTTTACGCATGAAATAAAAATGATTAGATGTTATGAATCGAGTATCAAGAAAACCTTAAAGTACCATATATCCTCAATTTCTGCTTGGTTCTGTCAAAAATTCGACCAAAATTCTTTAAAACTACCAATTTTGAGGGATTGAACTTCGTTCTTGATATTGGAGAGAACTGGAACATAAAATTCGTTAAATGCTTACCCATCTGATATAATGTGAATCATCACTAATTGCGTTTAAGGACTATAATCTCGTATCGCTACAAACTTGGCAGGTCTATATCTAGTCTCGGCTAGCTAATATCATCTACTTAGATAAGTCATGACAGATTAATGACAGATAAGATCATGACAGATAAGACAGATTAATGTCTTATTACTATTGCCAGCATCATTCCTAATTCTAAATTTTTTATCACATATAAGGGCAACACGTTATGTGTAACTAAATCTGAAAATTAGTTTTAATTTACTTTTTCTTTTTTGAACCTACTTATGTAGAGTTAGTTGACGTCACTTCTGTTAAATGTACTTTTGATAGAATATATCTGTTAAGCTATGCCTGATGGCATAGAAGATGAAGTTCTGGAATAATGATTATTTTTGAATAACTTTTCACCTTCATTGCGTGTAATTGTGATGTGTAAAAGAAATAAAATTTCGCGTTATTCCACTCTATTTTAAATATATTGACAGTTGCATTCTATTAAGACTAGGAATTTACCAGTGGGA